TGCTTATTGTCTAGTATCGTGTAAGTTTATCAAATTCTTTTATCTCCTCGTTACTTATATTGATAGTTCTGCTTAGCGCGAAGGAAGCGTCCGCGGTAGGGTTGAGGCCTATCGGAAGCCAGTTATGGCGAGTCGCCATCAAGCGGTGGCCGGCGGATTTTGTTGCTTCAGAACTCTCATGAGCTTGACATCATGAAAAGGCGTCCGCGGTAGGGTTGAGGCCTATCGGAAGCCAGTTATGGCAAGTCTCCATCAAGCAGAGGCCGGCCTTGATTGAGAGATAGCTCGCTTTGGTAGTTGCTTGATGCCTTCTGTTTAGGATGTTTCTCACAATTTTTTTTTTACATTTTATGAGGTAATGGGACAAGTAAAAAGGAAAGAAGCTAATCAGAATCGACAAAACGTAAAGATAGATTGGATCATAAATTCTCCCAATCCAACACCAATTGGTTTTTTTCGCCTAACTCACCCAACGGCACGATATCGAGCAATAGACACTTACAAAAAATGTTTTAGTCTTGCTTTAAGCCGTAGTAAGGGCGCAATTCTTGATAAATTGAGAACTGTAAATAATGATGTATGTATTTGACAATTTTTAATATCAAATATGAAATATTTTTAATATATGTCCTTTTTAAATAGGAAGAAACTATTCAGCGCGACTGGGAAATTTGGTTAAAGGAAAAGAAAGCGGTATGTCTAACTATCAGTCATTTCTGAATTTATAGGTTTGTGATTCTTCAATATTAAAATTTATGCTTTAGATTCTAGCCTGTCGAGAAGCCCATGATACAAATTTGCAGATTCAACAAGACTTCATCTTTACAATGAAGACAGTAAGTTGTTTAACAAATGAGTATAATTTGGAACATTTAAAACATTGCTAAAAATATTTTAACTATAGATCACTGGCACAACCGAAAGTAATACTGAGGAACATAATACTTTTGCTTCAGGAAGTCATCGCATAGAAAGTGGGAAACTCACTGATGATGAAGACGATGATTATGACGATGATTATGATGATGATTATGATGATGAACTTTCACCAAAAAAATTGAAATTCGATGAAAGTGATGTTAACGAGGCACGTAAAGATGTTAATGATCAAGAAGTATACACAGGAGTAACAAAGGATAGTCCAAACAATCCATTTATTGTACCGGCTAAAGATAACGATGCATCAGGTGAAGGTAATGATGCACCAAGTGAAGATGATGCACCTAATGCATCCAGTTCATCCTACCATCCTGAATCAAGTGAATCAGATGATAGTGTTGAATCTGAACAAAAAGAAAAACCCGAATTTCAATATGAATGGTTTGTTGGACCCGGCATAAAAGAGTCAAAATTGAATGAAAATGAAAATAAGGTAATGTTTAAACTCTTAATTTCAATTATATGTTAAAATTTCTGATATTTAATTTTCTTGCATTTACATAGTGGACCGTTGGTATAATCGATGTTTCAAATTTGCTATTGGAGTATCGTAATATATCTATTAAAAAAGCATCAGAGCAAAAAATAGAAAATGCTGTTGAAATGCTGTAAGTGTTTTAGATCTTTAATGTTTTTTTTATTTATGATTCTTTGTAATAATTTATTATAGTTCTCTTAATCATATATTTCTATTGGATGAGAATTTATCTACCGGGATCTCAGAAATGATCGGTCCTGCATCATTGAAAGCAATTTTCGAAAATATCAGAAGTGAATATACTTCATATCATCTTTCAGACAAAGACATTATACGATGTCATGAAATTTCCAAGGCAAGATTTTCATAAATGTTTTTAATATGATAATCTTTTTTTGACTAATGTTACATTAATTCAAACAGATTGCAAATAAAAACTTCCAAGGCTGTAAGTCATTACTTAGGAAATGGCAGAAGGAAGTTGATGAAAATGATAATGATTTAGTCTTAGAAGTTTTTGAATCAATGTAAGTTTACGAAATCCAAATAGATTGTATTATGCAAGTTTATTAATTTTTATTTTTTATAGTTTTAAGTATTTTCCATGCAACACAAATCGAGCAGATGCGCGAGAAGATTCATTCATTCATGAAGTTTTTGCACCAATAATTTTACCTTTTTTTGTAAATAGCGATCTAATATGTGAATGGTTTGTATATAAAATTAATTGATTTTTATACGCATTAGAATAATAATTATATATATAAATGAATTGTTTTTAGGTCCTCAGATGTGTTGGATTCATCAACCCACAGAAAACGCAAATTTGATCCTATTCTCCAGGGAAGAAAAGCAGACTTTTCTGCTTATGCACAAACCAAAGGCAACAGATACTATTTATTGGTCTCTGAAATAAAGTCTGCCAGATATATTTCATCAAAGAAAATTAATTTTGTGGATTGCGATTTAGTAAAAATTGGAAATGAAATGAAAGATATGCTTGATAAGTGCATTGAAGATGGTGTGAAAACCAAAGATTTGGCTATTTGTAGCATACTTGTCGAAGGTAAATACGTATTAGTGATCTTTAATATATATATTCTTATTTATCTTTCCTTTTATAATCAGGTTTTCAGTGCAGTATGTTTGTAATGGACCTGAAGTTTGACGCAATATACCGAATGATACTCTTGGGAAAGTTTTTTCTTCCACAAAATATTTACAACCTTAATGTACTTTCTATAGCAATAGAAGAACTAATGCAGATAAAAGTTAGTATAGAATATTTATGATATTTATCAGATGTTATATCATATACTAATTTTTTTTGTTTTTATACAAAGAATATTATTTCTAATTCTGCTAAGCTTTGCTTTCAGTATCATAAAGATCCAAGTATTATATCTACTATACCCACTACACCTATACGCAATAAAATGATGCGACCATCTTTTCACACTCCAATAAAGGTTCCAATTAATAAAATTTTCTAATTATATGTATAAAACAAATTATGCAATATTAATTTCAATATTATATTAGTAGTATTGATACACTTTTGCTATATAGTTTATTTAATGATTTAATTCTTTTCTTTATATGATTATTACTTATCTATAAATATATATTTTTTTAAATTTAATAATGATTGTTAATTTTTATTTAATTTTAGTGATGGAAAAGGTTTTTATACATATTTTTACTAAGTTATTTTACATATTACCTAATTTAGATTATATAAATTAAATATAGATTGATAACTTTTTGCAGTTACTTTTAAGTGTTTACATTATTTTGCTATATATTTTGTATATTATAGCAAAGGTTAATATTTGTAATCAGGATTATTAACATTTATAAACAAGAAAATTTATTAATTTACTCTAGGCTATAAACACGGATTGTCACTGTAATACAAATTTTAATTGTACATAATAACGATATGTTGCACACATACTGTAACAATGCAATTGTTATGCTAATACAGTAAAATTGTGGCGTAGTTAATCAAAATAAATTACTTTCTATTGCTATATTTTTTTTTGTACTTTAATGCATGCTTTGACAAAATGTCACGATTATAAAAGTTTCTGACATAACCAAAAAAATTCTTGATATATATGCGCGACATCAATGCAATATACACATGCAAAACACGATTAATTATACGAAATCAACCATCGGGTCAGATTTATGAGTTAAAAACCTATATCACATCTATATCGGGTATAAAAATCTTGATCGGACCTTGATGCATATATAACCTCACATGAAAAAATGTTATTGCAATTAAACAATAATGCGAATTTTATACTATGTAGAGCATGCACAGTATTCCCAAGATTCCCAGGGTTCCCAAGAATTTAATCAGATCGAACCTAAAACAATTATACATATTCGCAAGGGCACTATCGCTATCACAAAAGCATTATAACAAGTACAAGAAGGGATCAACCAAGTAACAATAAAGTATCAAACAAGATAACAACAAGGTATCAACAAGCTTAATCGGATAAAAGTAATAAAGGATACGGGGAGATTAACCTAATATTAAAGTTTAAAGAATAATTGAGAATCAATTTTTGTATAATCATATGTAAAGACTATTATTTAAAGATTATTTTGTACGTACGTAAAAGTATTATCTAGATTTGTGTAACAGGTAGGAAGTTAAATCGAAAACATAGGCAGAAGTTCGTCTGATTGGCTAATAAATTCAATTTAATTTTACATTATTTATACAGTTTAGAGTACTTT